CACTGATAGATTCTTGCTGTATGATTTATTGCAGAAAAACACCACCTAGAAATGGGCTTTTGATAAAATTGTTCAAGGATTCCTGAACAATAAATCCTAATCTTAACATGCAATGCTGCAGAATGTTTCACCTTTCTTATGCTATAAATAAAATATGCCAAATGTGATAATAAATCCATACATTTAAGCATTATCCATGTAGTTTAGGAAATAAAGTCATAGTATGTATGCCTGATGTTAATAGCAGCTCTAAGCCTGAGGATACTGAGGTATCTGTGCATTTGCCATCTAAATTTTTAGCACTTTACAGTACTTATGAAATTTCATGGCTTTTATCTGCCTGGGAAGGCTTGCTTTGCAGAGCACATGTGGGTTAAGCATAATCAGTTTCTGGTGGCTTGAATGAAAAGAGATGTTTCCTGAACACAGACACCTTGCTCTGGAAGACAGCTGAAATTTTCAGTTCATGCAGAGACCTTTCTCATAATTAATCATCTACTGGAGGAAGTGATGAGAGGCTCAGTCACTCCATTGTGACCCTGCTAGTGGCACAGGGTGTTCAGCATGCAGAGCCCTACTATTTAGGCTTCTTCTCATAAGCTCAAGGACAGGTACCTGACCTCCACACATGGTAGAAAGTTGGGGAAGCCAAGCCCTACTGATCTTCCCTGAGCTGATATGCTCCTCACTGCATGTAAACATACAGACAGATTTTAATTACTGATTGCTTCTAAAGCTTCTAAATGATTGCAAGTCTCCATCTATTCGAAAAGATGGAGGCAAGATCTTAATCTGGGTTAGGGTTTTCTCAAACTTAGCAGAATGGACATTTGTGGCCAGATAATTCTGTGTTACAGGGGCCCTTCTGTGCATTTTAGCATGTTTAGCAGCGTCCCCAGCCTCCACCCAGTAGAGGCCAGCATCCTCCTCCCCATCCCCACAGGTTGTGACAACCAAAAATGTCTCCAGATACTGCCAATGTCCCCTGTGGGGCAAGGCCATCCCTGGTTGGAAACTATTGATTAAGCCTATAAGAAAGAGTTAACAAAAGCCATGACATTAAAGAGGACAGAACTACATTTAACTGCAGAAAAATGAAAAGGACTCGATTCAAAAATAAAAGACGCTGAGTTTGGGAATGAGAATGAGTTGACTTTTATTTTAGAGAGGGCTGAAACTATTTGTGGAATATCTCCCTATGCCATGAACAGAGCAAAGTCCCATAAAATGCTGGTAGTTTGGTCAGCTGCTAAGAAAACGTGTTAAATAACACATTTGTATAATCATTTATTTACATTGAATCTGACAGAATGAAGATATGGATATAAAAACAGTGTGTGCTTGAAAAGGGTTACCACACTAGAAAGAAAGAAATAGAAATGAGAATAAAAAAACCTAAGGGAAGTTTTTTTCTCCAACAAACTGGAAGTGGAGAAATCCATTATACCATGTGTAGCTTTCTTTGTGTTCTCAGATATTTATTGAAGGTCAAAGACAGAGATGCCTAATGGGTTATGATTATGTGAAATGAAGTGAGAAACAGTGTTTTATAACAGCAAACACTTTTTATAGTGACAGTGTATTACGTTCACTAAAACATCTTACAACTGTCTTTTCCCTAGTATCCATGGCTCAAAGCAGGAAAATAATATGTTATTCAAGAAATACATAGAAACTGGGGGTGTGACTTGTTCAGAGCCAGGGCTCTTGTCTCAAGATCCAGGAAAATTCCTTCTATGCTTTGTCCAACTTGAATGACTATTTACTCTAAATTAAAGTATTATATACTTCCTTCACATCATTTTTTTCCATCTCAGTTTTGAAAAAGGTTGTATTTTAGTAATAAAAGATTTATGAAAATTTCCATCAGGGCTCCCATACTCTTGAGCTTGAAGATACCTTTGTAATGTCAAAAAATTTCAAATATATTCTCATTCATGTACTCATTCCTTAATTTATTCGACAAATATTTATTTGTGCCTTGTAAGTGAAAGGCCCTAGGACACTGATACGAGAAAACAGAAGGAATCCCCGCCCCTGCGAAGCATGCAGCCGAATGGGTAACACGAGCTCACTGCTACATTTTGGTACTTAGACACAACGCCCAGAAAGATGCGCACACTCCATTAAATGCTTGTTGAAGTTTACTGCACGTAGATAGGTAGAATAAAATCTAAACAACTTCTTTTGTCCTGTGAGACCCTGAAACATTCAGCTCCAACCTTTCTGACCTTACCTTTTAGCATCTTTCTCTCCCTGATTTCCCTCCAGCCATACTGGCTTCTCTGTTTCCTTAGTCATTAGGAAATAAAGCTCCACCTTTCCAACACACCCAACATGCCCAATGGACTCCTCTCCTCACGTCAATATCTTTGCTTTGTGAGCTCCTGACAGTTTAGTGTTCAGCTCAGACGTCACTACTTCACTGAGTTCTTTCCTGATCTGTCTCTAATAGCCGGTTTTATTTTATTGATAGCACTAAGCACTATTTGATACTTTCTTATTTATTTGCCTCCTTATTTATTGTCTGTCTCTCTATAAAAAATGTTTATCCCATGCAGACAGGAGCTATGTCAGCCATGTTTATCAATCTAAAAGAGAGTCTAGAACACACTGGAATCACAGTAGACCCTCAAATTTTGGTGGAATGCTGAAGGAAATAAATATATATGTTAATTATAAGATGCAAAGTACTACTAAGGAAATAGAGAATTATCATGGAGAATAGCAGGGGAGATCTATAAGGTACAATTAGTGAAGAATTTGCTGAGAAGTAACATTTAGGCCAAGACAAATGCTATTAGGAATAGGGTGTGCACAGGCCCCAAGGGAAAGCAAGCTTTTTGTCTTGCAGGGGCTAATAGGAATGTGTGATTGAAGCTTAGTAAGCAGGGGAGAGGGGAGAATGGAAAAGTTAAGAGGAAGCATGTCATGGGTACCATGTACAGTAGGGGCTGGCAAACAATGGCCTATGGGTGAAATCTGGCCTGCCCACATGTTTTGATAAATAAAATTTGATTGGAATGCAGACATGCCCATTTGTTTAAGTATCATCTATGGTTTTCTCACTACAGCACAAGAGTTGAGGGGTTAGAATAGAGATGGTTGTTTTACCTACTAGCCTAAAATATTTGCTGTCTGGCTTTTATAGAAAATGGTTATGATCCCTGAGGGGGTTGAGGGACAGGAAGGGGATTTAGGGAAGGAAAGGACTTGAGGCTGAGGGAAGGGGCTTCGGTTTCATTTCGATGCAATGGTGTGGCAGTTTTCAGATGTTGGAAGGCTCTTTGACACTCCTTCCTTCTAGAGGTGGAGTTTATGTCCCTTTGCCTTGAATCAGGCTTTGTGACTCCTTAACCAACAGAATACAGGAGAAGTGACATTCTGTGAGTTTCTGGGCTCAAGCTTTAAGAAACTGACTACCTCGGCTTTGTGTCTCTTGAAACCTAGCCACCGTGTTGTGAGGAAGACCAAGCAGCCTGTAGAGGAGTCTGCTGGGCACACGTAGGCAGCACATGGGCCCCAAGGGCCAGCACAAACTCACCAGCCTTGCGAGGGAACCCTCCTGAAAGCAGATCCTCCAGCCCCCAGTAGAGCCGTTTTCTTTAAACCATGTTCAGCAGAGGGGAGCTGTTCTCACCCAAATTGCAAATTTGTAAGCAAACTAAATGATGATTGCTGTTTTTAGCCATTATGTTTTAGGGTGTTTTATTACACAGCAATAGGAACCAGAACAAATGGGAGGGCATTAATGTTATTTTTTCTAAGCACAGCTTCATATTTCTTTTACTATAGATAATGTAAGATCACTTGCTTAATGTTTATCCTATCTCTCTGTTTCCCTATCTCCCTTTCCCTTTGAAAGTGTCTTCCAAGTGATCACCCAGTTTCATTAATTTAATACATAATTGAATGCCTGCTCTATGTAGGAGTCTGTAGCATAATTATTCATTGTTTGTTATCTTGATATCTGAACAGGATATTCAGTATGAAAGTGAAGGCTCATAGTTTTAGTACTTCTGTCAAAAAAGAGGATCATGTAGCTAGACAATCATTTATGCAATATTATTATTCCCATTCTTGAATTTTAATTGTGAAATTGAGTAAAGCCCCTCCTCCTTGCCGTTTTATAAAACTTCAAAGAACAGTTCAGTGGCAATTATGGAATTCTCATATTAAGAGATTAAGCTGGCACTTCATAAATATCAAATCAGCATCCTATTTATGAATTCACTATTTTTCTTTAAATACATACATTTAGTGCCAAATTTTTTCTCAACATTTAAAAATTCAATCATTACCAACAGAAATTGGACATTAAAATTAGAAAAACGAGTACCTGAACATGAAGAAAAGGATTCAGAAAAACTGAAAAATGCAAGTGTTCCCATATTGCCCCTTTTGGAAATCTGTCCTGGTATCTGAAGATTGGTATAGAAAAAAGCTGATAGAAAAATTTCTTTAGTGTTATGCAAATATTCAATTTACGAAGAAAGCTACATTGCCTGCATATGAAGAATAAAATTACTGTTTTTTTTTAATCCTTTCATTTTGCAGGTCACAATAATAGGGCAAGTTACCAAAAAAACTGTTTTCTGCCAACTTTATGGTTCAAACGCTGAGTAGACTGAGATAATTTATGGTGGAGAAAATGATCTGCATCTGGAATCTCTAGCTGAACCTGCCACATGACTGAGCTAGTTCTTATAAAGAAGCTAGAAATCTGGCGCCACGGCAAATGAAGGAAATGAGTTTAATCACTTAACAAGCTTGCTGCTTTGGATCCTGATGGCTGGAGCTGAATGAAACATCGTAAGGAAAGAACAGCAGGAAGAAATGTTGAATGTCTATGGACCACTGATGGCTGGGCATGTCAAACAAGCCAAAACAAGCACATTTCCAAGGACATAGAAGAAAATGAAATACAGGACCATGGTATTATGCGTTCAAGAGGGAAATTCTGTGTTATCTAAGAGCAACCAAAGGGGTATGACACTGACCTGTCCGGGAGCAGATCCTTGTATGCCAAAATAGCCTCATGGAATCAGCGTTTCAGCTCAAGGAAGACTATGTTTTCAGAACTCAGTCATAAGTTGCATTTACTGCCAAATGGCTCTCCTGGGTCAGGGAATGCAGTGCAGAGAGGCCAAACAAGGGAACTCAGAGCAAAGGACAAAAGAGGGGGGCAGAGCTGCAGGCACAAACAAAACTCCGGAAGTTGATTAAAAAGTTCTTTAAAAGAGAAGATGGAACACATTCATAAAGGAGGCCTCCTAGAGAATGGGTTTAAGGACACTTTTTCAACAGAGTCCTCAGTGTTAAGTTCCTAGGTTGAATAATAGTTTTTCAATTCTCAACTTATTGTTATGCATATAAGTGTGTTATGTTTACTATTTTGTATATTTAAAATACATATTACATATATTAAATATTACATAACACAGAACTGGGTTTGAATTCTAGCATAATTACTATGTTACTCTGAGTAAATTACTTGAATGTTCTGAACTTCAGTATCTATAAAATGTATAAAAGGATAAATATATAAAACAACCTCATTTGGGTGGTTTAAAGGTTAAACGGGACCATACATGGGAAGTACCTGGCACTTAGTTGGAAGTTATTTTTAAGGTTGAGGATAGGGGTTCAGAGACCAGAAAGTATCCCAGCACAGACTGTAATGGAACAAGAATGTCACTGGCCACAGAGAGAGGATCAGTAGAATCTGGAAAATGGGATAAAAGAACATTCTGGATTAAATAGAACCAAGGCTATTCCCTCACTCATACTGTTAAGGGATTTCTATTAAATGCTTAGCATTGATGCAGAAAATTCCACGAATAGCTTTTGTAGCTTGTTGAATAAAATTGCAGTTTTGTTAACAGTACAGAAAATGAATATAATTCTTATTCTATACTTGTGGGTTCAGTCATTCTCAACATTTCTGAGAGAATATCCCTTCATAACTTTATTCACTTTTATCAAAAGGATAAATGTAAGGATGTTAGAGGTCATTTCCTAGAGTTTGCTGTGGCTCAAAACATCCCTGACCTTTAAGCTACCAGAAGAACAAAAAAATGAGAAAGGAGGTAAGAGCAATCAAGACATTCTCTCTCCCTCCCAACCCCCTTTGCAGGGCCACACAGTATCTCCTTAAAATGCAGACACTCTGGATAGATGCATTCAACACTATCAGGTACCATCTTGGGTTGAGATCTTACTAAGATTTAGTTGGCAGGCAGTTGAAAACTCAAATGAGATAAATACTGTGAAGCAGAAGGAGAAGAAACAGGGAACTCCCAAGAAAGACAAAGGAAGAATTGGTGATGAAATATAAAAGGTAATCAGGATAGATTTCTCCGATGAGCTGAGGACAGCCTCTGAGTCATGGCCCCATCGTCAATAACAGGTATTCCAGGTCATGGCTCTTTCCACCACCTGGGAGGTCATTATCCAAACAAACAACCAGAGGCTCCAACTCAAGAGTCCTTTACAATAAGATTCAAACCATCACCTGCTAGAGTAACCTGTAGAATTAGTGTAGACTCTTAAATTAGAATATATTTTCTCACTGATGAGAGATGCAAATTAGGTCATAAAAGTGTAAGTGTTTAATGAACACAATATAAACTAATGAATTAAAGACTCATCCAGAAGTCTACACCTTCTGGTAAAAATAAGGAAAGAACCAAAGATAAGGATTACAGAGCATCTGCTTCTAAGGAGGAATAAGCCCATCAATAGAAATGAAGTGAGAAGTCATGGCTGAGTCACACACATGACCAGAAAAGAAAAATAAAATGAGGCTGAATGGGTCACACATACTCCATTTCATGAGAATCACAAGTTCCTTCATGAGGAAATATGTCCAAGGCACAGTCAAATCCTACACAGAGATTCTAGGATATCTTGTCATTTATGTCTAGAAGGAGGACTTCAGCATCCTCTAGTCCAGTACTTTTCAAGCTTGGCTGCTTATCAGAAGCATGAGGGGTCAGGTCACCTTAAAAATTTTAGATTTAGGGAACTTCAGACCAGAATCTCTTAGGATGGACGCTGGAACCTGCAGGTTTGGGAATCCAGCTTCTGCCCCAGTGCCTTTGGTTGTAATGGCTCTTGGCTTTTGAAGCATTAATAATGAGAAGTACAAAGCATATTATAGCAAATACCCAGACATGTGCTACCCCTTAAAACATTTTATTTTGAAGTACGTATTTCCACAAAAGAGTGTGTGGAAAATCCCTTTAAAAAATTAATATTTTAATGTTTAACAGCAGCTGAAAAATAAAATCTTCCCATCAGTTTCACACAACCTGCACTGAGATCTTGAGTTCAGCCTGCTTTTCAACTGAAAATTTACGACACCCTTTAAGCACTGAGATAGAACAAAAAGCAAAGTGCTTGTGGCGTTATACCTTCTTTATATCTTCATCCCACGAAGGGCGGCTAAAGACAAACCAAAGCATATTTACCACATTATTGGTCTCAATATTTTTTACTTTTTATGTTGAAATAATTATAGATTCCAAGGAAGATGCAAAAATAGTGCAGAGAAGTCCCGTGTACTCTTCACCCAGTTTCCCCTCAAGGTAGCATCTTACACAGCTTCTGACAAAACTATGTGGTATAATGGCAAAACCAGAAAACTGACATTGGCATGATCAACAGACCTTACTCAAATTTTTCCAGTTTTATATGCACTTTTGAGTGGGTATGTGTGTGTGTACCATCTATGCAATTTCAGACTATGCCATTCATGTAACACAATAAATATATATATATATATATGCAGAACTCCTCCCTCACCACAAAGATCCTTTCTGCTACTTCTTTGCACCCAACCCTCTCCAACCTTTCTTTCCAAGACTCCCCACGCCAACTCCATCCCATCCATAACTTCTGGCAAACACTAATTTGTTCTACATTTCTTTAATCTTGTCATTTGAGAATGTTATAGAAATATAATAATCATTTGAAATTGTTTTTTTCACTCAGTTTAATTCCCTTAAGATCAATCCAAGTAGTTACATGTATCAAATATAATTTCTTTCTTTTTATTATTGAGTAGTGTTCTATCATATGGATGTATTATAGAATGCTTGACCCACTGAAGGACATTTGGATTAGTTTCAGTTTGGGCAATTATAAATAAAGCTGCTACAAATATTCATGTACACATATTGATGGGGATATAAGTTTAAATTTCTCTGGGATAAATGCAAGGAGTGTGAGTGGTTGTATGGAAAACACATGTTTAGATTTTTATGAAACTGTCAATTTTTTTCCAGAGTGGGTGTAACAGTTCCCTACCATATGAGTGACTGAGTTTTTCACATCCTTACCAGCATTTGGTATTATCACTATTTTCTATTTAAGCTGTTCTAATAGGTGTGTAATGCTATCACATCAGGTCTTTAATTTGTGTTTCCTTAGTAGCTAGTGATGTTGAATGTATTTTCATGTGTTAATATGCCATCTGTATATCTTCCTTTGTTAATCATGTCTGTCTCATTTTCTAATTGAACCCCTTTTTTTAAAACTGCTGAGTTTCTGGATTCTTTATTTATCCTAGATAAGAGTTTTTTTTTATCAGTTACGTGGCTTGCACAAATATTTTCCACAACCTGTAGCTTGTTTTTTCAGAAAATTCTGTACAAAAAAAAGTTCATATTAAAGGAGAGAAGAATATTTATTTTACAAATAATAAATTTATGGTAACTATGATTTGACTGTAAATAAACAACATGAAAATATTTATAATTCAGTTAGAAACTTCTCTAAAATTACATTCTGTTCATGAATTGTGGAAACTTCTTATTTAAAAGTAGAAACTCAAATAGCTTTATTTTTTCAAAGGAAGCATTACATTCTTAATTTTAAGTATTATATGGGGTGTAAACTTCTATACAGATGTAAATGGGTGATGCATGAAATAAGAAATAAAAACAAAGTTCTCATTTTATAGAAATTAGTTTCTAATACATTGCTTATTAAAATTCTGCCCTTTAAAATCCTCAATGCCCATATCTCTTCCTATCTACCTCATGAATATTTACTCAAATTTGTTTCTTCTTTCATTTTTCCACATATACCCACAGTTCATTACTTATATCTCTCTTTAGCACTTAGGGGTTTTCCTTCACATTTCAGTTGGTCACTGACTGGGCATTCCTTCTCTCCTGCATCACTCAGATGAGTTCCCTGAGCTGTGTTCATCTCCCTCCCCTGGTCCCACCTTCATGCCTAGCACATGCAAAGAACTCAAGCATATTGAAATGATTTAAAATAATGCCAAAACAGGAGAAGCCAAGATGGCAGTGTGAGTAGGGCAGCGGAAATCTCCTCCCAAAACAATATATATTTTTGAAAGTACAACAAATGCAACTTTCCTAAAAGTGAGACCAGAGGATACAGTACAACAGCCAGGCTACATTTACATCTGCGAGAACTCAGCATATCACAAAGGGGGAAGATACAAGCCGCGGCATGGCAGGACCGAGCGCCCCTCACCCCAGCTCCTGGTGGGAGGAGAGGAGTTGGAGTGGGGAGGGAGTGGAAGCACAGGACTGCTAAATAACCAGCACTAGTAATACACACCGGGAGTGCAGACACACATTGCATGGTGTGCTGGATATTAGAGAAATGGAAAAGTAAAATCTGCAAGTGATTCCCCGCAGCCAGCTCCCCTGGGACAAAAGAAAATCGAGTGCTCTTTGAAAGTCTTAAAGGAACAGGGGCCTCACAGCTGGACAGAAGCAACCCAGCACACTTAGCCTAGCAGCTGGGAATCACGGAGAAATTAGGGCACTGCAGTCCCGAGAGGCAACACAGCCCTGAGGCCCATCACAGCGATAAACAGCCTGCCAGCGGCTGAGCAGCCAGAGAGAGGACCTGCACGCGCACACAGCGGCTGAGCAGCCAGGGAGCACCTGCGTGTGTGCATTCAGGAGCAGAGAAGCCAGGGAGCAGCCGCACCCACGGCAACTGACCAGAATCTCCTACTGGCACACAGCCACCCAGGCCAGACCCAGAGGCCACCACTGATGCGCAACTGCACCACACAGGCAGAGGAAACAAGGGCAAGGCGTGAAGAGGTGCCATTCTCGCAGGGGAGCA